TATGGATTAGAACAAACATGACAGCAGATTGCTGCACAGAGGACTGCCTTTTTTTGCAATAAGGAGGCTGCCAAACCCAGTAATTTTTTTTTTTTTTTCAGTAAGTGATTTTAAAGAAATTACTCATTTAAAGAGAGCTTAAAGGGAGGCATCTTGTTAACAGAGACTAGCCAAAAAATGATCTCTCTGAAGTGTCCCAGAGCTGGACACCTGACACCTTAAAAAGATCACTTCTAGCTCAAGATTTTAATCCTGGTTTAATGAAGTGAAGAACTAAAAATTATTGGAAGCTTACAACTGAATTCTAGTTTAGCTTGTTGAATTCTTCAGCCTTCTCAAAATCAGAGCGTATGAGATGCTTTGGATAAAAACATTTTTAAAAGGTGGTTCAAAATGATACTATGGATAAAAATACTTTTAGAAATCCCCAAGTCCTTCATAGTAATTTAACAGCAGCTTTAAGCTGGTTTTATCTCCAACCAACCCCTGAAGATTGCTTTGCCAGATGCTATATTTCACTTTGCCTGTTGTTTCTGTTGTTACCCTAAAAAGGTCTTTTTCAATCATTACCACATATATTTAGTTGTTAAGACAGCTTAAACCTAGAGATTATTTTATTAGTATTGGTAAGGGAGGAGAACCCCATTTTCTGAAGTGCTATACAGGGAAAAGAAAGATTGCATTTTACACAGCTATGGGCCTTTGAAGGGTCTGTTCTCTCTGCACTCCTGCTGCTAAATGAGGAAAGCTTTCCTGCCGTTAGAATGTACCTGGTTCTGCAGAGTAATACACAAACACATTCTGTCCCACAGAGAAACTTTGCTTTGGTAGTTAAATGTGAAATTATTTCTTAAGAGGACAGGAATCACGTTTTCCAAGATACCTATTAAAATCTAATGCCATCCAGGACAAATTGGGAAAAGGAAAACACTTCCTGCAAGAAGGAAAACAAGGGAGATTGAGACAATTCCAGTTTTCCCCATTACATACTTCTTTTGCTGTCTTCTTCGCTACTGTTGGAGCTGGAAGACTACAGCTATCCAGAGTACAGCAACTACAGACTTGTTATGCACAAAGTGGAAGCAAAGCTCATCACAATGGGCTCCGCTACTATGATGCAGCTCAGAATGAACAGTACTGATGTGATAAATGCATCAGAGGGGCCAGAAAAAAGCTGCACACAGTTTGAGAAAGTCAGCCCCCCAAAGACTGTTACAAAGCCTCTTAGTCTTCTAATTCACTAAGTTAAAACCAAGTTTATGCTGTTACCAATCACACTTCAGTGTGCAACACAGAAACACCACTTAATTGTGCAGAGCAGGTAATAGATAACTCAGGACAGCAAAATACACTCCTCAAAACAGACAAAGTTTGGTCAGAGTGCTTAAGTTAGAGACTCCCAATAATTCATTAAATGTGAATTAATTAGGTAACAGGATCATCCTGTAGGTTCATCAAATACCTGCACACTTGAAGCAAAAGCACAGTCAATACAAATCTTTGACATTTCCATTCTTTTTATTAAGGAAAGGCTCTTTAAATAGACTAGGAACAGTATTTTAAAAAAATAAAGAAACCTAAAGTAAACACAGATGCCCCAAAATCAGCAGTTCTCCAAACAGTTGAGCTGCATAAAGCAGTTCATGTTTTAGAAAAAAATGTATGCTACAACAGCCATCTGAACAGAGACGCAATCTTGAAAAAAAGTTACATATTCACATGCAAATATTGTGGGTTTTTTCATTTCAGTTGAGTAATGAGTTTAAAGGGTCACTTTTTAACCTAATTTGTATGCAGCATTAGCTTGCTAATATAAGCAATATACAGTATCCTCAATTTCATTGTTTCATTCTATACACAGACTAGACACAGCCACTCTCAATAGTACCAATGAAGAGATACTTAGAAGTGTCCAATATGGAACAAACATTCCCCATTTTCTGAAGCGTATGATTTCACATGCAATTAAGATTTTCCATGTTGACTTCTCTCATGGAACACTGCATACAGTGTGATGCATTTCTGATGCACAAATATGGGACTTTTCAGACTGCTAAGAATCCGGGAAAATTGCCCCCATATTTTATGTTGACCACTTAATTGATTTTCTTTTTATTAAATTTAGGACTGTTGACTCTCCCTGCTGTAACTGTAGTCTATACCTAAGGCTCAACCTGAGTTCACTAGCCAAAAATGCACATCCAATATCCCAAACCACCCCAAACAATTCTTTGTTATATCATTTCTGCAACAGTCGAGTTCCTAGTCATTTATACTGACCACATCCATGTTGGTTTTTTTTTTGCTTTACATTAACTGCTTTTATTGGAAATCAGTTTCTTATATTCAGTGCAAAAATGTAAGAAAGAGTCTTGTCCTATTGAACCCTCAGCAGAAACACAAAACAATCATCTGTGATTGTTTCTCTTTTTTATTATCCACTTCAATACAGCACTCAAAGCACACAAAAATTACTACTTTGAAGCCTATTGTAAAGAAATATTTTAACAATGTAAAAAAGTAATAATGGCAACTAATTCACATTCATGGTTTAGTAGCAATTATTTATCTCCATCATGAATTGCTCAAGATCGATGATCTTCATAACCGTGAAAGGAGGAGTGATAGATGTGGGACACATCTAAAGGAATTGTTAGGAGCAGAAAGAAGATTCATTCCCTGATGCAGGTAAAAGATCCACAGGTTGCTGTGAGAGACTCATACTGCTGAAGAGTAAAAAGCTGTTTTAAGTCTAACCCTTCCAATGGTGAAAACAGCATAAAAATGTGATGTGAAAGCTACACTGCACTTAAGCCTAGTGAAACTCTAGCAAGGAGAACCTTGCAGATCAAACTGGAATCTATTCAGAACACTTAGAAGAACTAACCTCACTTTTCATAACATACATAAAGCTGTCTTACACTGTTAAGGTATGTCCTGGTTTCGGCAGGGATAGAGCTCATTTCCTTCCTAGTAGCTGGTACAGTGCTGTGTTCTGGATTTAGGGTGAGAACAATGTTGATAACACACCGATGTTTTAGTTGTTGCTGAGCAGTGCTTACACTAGTCGAGGACTTTTCAGCTTCCCATGCTCTACCAACTGAGAAGGCTGGAGGTGCACAAGCAGCTGCGAGGGGGCACAGCCAAACTGGCCAAAGTAACATTCCATACCATGGGACGTCATGCTCAGTACATGAACTGCGGAAAGCTGGCCAGGGGTCCGCTGCTCGGGGACTGGCTGGGCATCGGTCAGAGGGTGGTGAGCAATTGCACCGTGTATCACTTGCTTTGTGTATTATCATATTATTATTACTTTATTTCAATTATTAAACTGTTTTTATCTCAACCCATGAGTTTTTCTCACTTCTACTCTTCCAATTCTCTCCCCCATCCCACCGGGGGTGTGTGTGTGTGGGGGGGGTGAGCGAGCAGCTGATGTGGTGCTCAGTTGCCGACTGAGGTTAAACCACAACAAGGTATTAAAAGTTCTTCTGGTCACCCAGATGTTCATGGATGTGAATACATCTGGAAATGACTCTTTGACTAGCATCTCTTAGAATGAAAACTTAAGTACTGTTAAGTTCAACTGGATGGCAAACAAGCTTATTACACACTGCTGCAGAAACTACATCAAGCTAAGCCCTGTCACTTTTTAAAAAAAGTCTTTAAAGTAGCCACCAGAACCAATATCAACATCTCCCCCCACCCCTCAATACAGGTATTCCACTACAAGTCTTACTGTTTCTGGAAATAGACAAAATCTTTAACAATACACAAGATTAAAAAAAAAAATTGAGACCCACCTTTCCCCCTGCAGATTAATACAAAACGCCACTTACCAGAACCATACAGCAGGGTTCCTGAAGTGACTGAGGAATACTCACTGGAAGCTAATTAATCTATTCCCTTTTAATATTCAATACCAAAGGGTTTTGCAGAGAAACATACTGCAGTTCAGGAAAGTAAGTTATCTTTCACAATAAGAAAGAACGTGAAGTCTACACTCAGTATCATGCTTGCAGCACTTAGTTTCATTTCTGGATTGTTGAAAGAAAGCATGGTACAACTATTTTATATTAGAGACACAAAGGGCTGAAAAAGCTCATCTGTAAGTAATTTAAATAATTTCCATATTCAAGACACTAAACCTATTTGCTTCTTGAACTCATGAATGCTCATAAAGAAGAGAGATTTTTACCTGTTTCAGAAAACCTGTATAAAAAGATTTTTTCCTTGATAAGGTTTTATACCAACTTTGAAAATCTTAACTTCCCACCATCATTAACAAAAACATATTTAGTAAAGAAAGGAAACACGAACTTTCTGTTTTCATAAGCATTTGTTAATTCATAGGCTTTGAGCTTAACGCTATTGAATTTAGACTTTGTCATCATTCACAAATACCTCTCACTCTTTTTAAAGAACTTTATTTTAAAAATAATTTTAATTCATTAGACCATACTTTATAAGTTACCAATAGGACGGACCTGAACTCAAGCATCAGACATTTGTTGCACCTTTAAGTTTTGTAACAACATGACTTTTCAAAATAAAATTGTACATTTAGATTCACAGTTTAATTTGTTGAAATTTAATAACATTTAAAAACACTGGAATTTGAATTGAAAGGGATACATGTTAAGCACACAAATACTGAAAAAGGTCATAACCCCAAAATGCACTTGAAAATGGAATGCAGCTAATTAGTCAGACTAGTTTAGTAATTTCACATTTAACCTAGTTAGCACCTTGTTGAACTGAACCACTGAATGTGAGAAATTAGTGCATGTAGTGTGACAACAGGTACTGTACCATTTCATAATTAGATTGTGTTTTGAGCATTATGTGCCATATTTTTTGAAAACTGGTAATATTTTAGAAGTCTTCTAAAACGTGAAATAAACAATGGCTACAGTTAAAGTCTAACCAAAGAAGTACTTTCTCTACTTTAAGTTGAGATTTTTAAAAGCAATCATTTATAAGGATTGCATCAACATCAGTTAGCAGAGGAAGATCAAACTTTATTGAAACTGCTTGCATACAAAATATATTGCACTATAACCAAACAAATGTCAACATAAAATCCAATCTGTTGTAGCTAATATGTACAGAGAATATTGCCCAAGAGCAGTTACATTACAAGGTCAGTCTACCTTGGTTAATTATCTACAGTATTTTAAACCAAACAGCTTACAGATGATGTGTGCAAGGTACCAATTTCTGTTTTCAAATACTATACATTCCCAAAATAAATAACTAGAAATCAACATTAATGTTTGGCAATACTTTTTAAGACATTTTTATATTTGTTAAATCATGTGCAGTTCGTTGCCATTTTTAGTATGCTCACCTGTATGCAAGGAAAAAAAAATATGAAAAAAGCAAAGAAACAAAACTCACAAAATACATCAGAGGCAAGGTCAAGTTTGTACAATTCTGTACATAAACAGTGGCTCTCCTTCTGGAGTAATCTGAATAAAAATGGATTAAAATGAAGGTCCTTATACAGTTTTGCCCAGTAAGTTTAATGTGTGATCAGAAATAAAAGAAAGCACAGCTCCTCCCACCACTTCCCACCCTTCCCTGGTGTACAACTGTACTTTGGATCAAATTCTGTGACACCTTCAAACTGGCTGGTAATTCAGACATTACACCTCAAAATATGATGAATTTTTGTCCTACCTCCAATCTCTCTGACTACTATATCTGTACTTTCCAGGGCATTACACGTGGTGATTTTCTTCCTACCTCTCCTGAGATAGTCCTCGAATTAAAATAAGCAATTCAAAATGTTTTGGGAGGATGAAAAACATCAGCGCTTTAAACTGGTCATCTGGCCAAACAGCAGGCACACATTACTAGCTTTTGAACACGTTACACTTGTTCCCTCAGTAACAATGAGTTTTTTTAGTTTTCCACAATGGAAAGGTTTTTTTTAATTTTTTTTTTTTAAAAAAAAGCTTCTGTACTGCCTACAAAGGAAAAAATTACACCCCTTTTTCAATAACACTATTTGCCAAATCTTCAGTGCAAAATAAATTTCCTATTCTTATAACTGCCTAACTCAATGTTTATGTAAGGAAAAAATTATGGAAAGCATGCACTTGTCTATAAAGTACTAACGTCTGACAAGGATTGCTACATATATTTTACATTTAGTGTTACCAACTCATCTTCCCTGATTTCTGCATCCAAATATAATATTCCTACCTGCCAAGATATAAAAAAGGCACAGATCATACAACTTTTTTGCTAATGAAAATGACAATTGTTACATCACACATGTTTCAGGGTCCACTAAAACATTGAAAAAGGTGGACCAGAATGTGAACTGACACAGGACATAAAACGACATAGCATTTCATGAAGAACTTGTAAGTTAGATTGAAAACAGAAGCCAATTTGATTACTGCAAACACTATTTATTCTGAAAATTGAAATTGAGCAGTGAATTTGACCCGATGTGTTAAAATGGTACAACTGAACAGAAAGTTTACCAATGCACAGCTCAGTATTTTTAAAACAAACAAAAAAGAATCTTTCATTGTTTGAACTGCAATATGTACTTGAAAGCGATTTTCGGAAATTCAGATATTTTTATGCAAATATTTGAATAACTTCTTATTCTGAAAACAACTGCATACTGTTGATGTTAAAAAAGGCTAACAGAGAACATATGTTCATTTCATGCCCTGCGCCATCTTGCCTACTATTTGTCTTTGGCCTAACAAGTTTCTCTAACATGGAATAGGAATTACTGAAACAGTATAGGAAATATGACTTCAGAATTATGCAGTTTAGGGTACTCCATTCACCAGCGGCTGTTGACCATCTGCGCTGTCCGTTTTCTCTTTCTTCTGATTACGTTCTTTACCCGTGCGCAGCCGACTACCTTCACTGGAGGTATTCTGTAATGTTTTAGTGTGGACACTCCTTTCATTATTGCAGTCAATTCTGATCTGGAACAAGTCAGAGTTATATAAAGCATTCTCTTCCTTTCATCCACCCCTTATGCATTCGCTACCTTAGCAGCCTGGGAGGAGCACTATTTATTAAATAGTCAGAAGACACAAATAGTACCACACCCTTATGGCTTTGTTAAATGTATCCAGCTGAAATGGAGAGTGTGTGAATTCTTTTCTGTTCAAAAATGGTTGTGACCTAAAAAAACAAAACCAAAAAACCTCCCATCTACCTAGCCTTGAAAACTAAAAAAAAAATTTTTCCAGTGTGCTTGTGCAAGAGAAAGTTGAAGAACTAATAGCAGATGGAACTTTAGAACATCATGTCACTTTCAATAGTTCAACTTTCTACTTGTCGTATACAAACTTTTTTTGAAAAAAATGAACACAAAAGCTGCCATGACATGATACTAACGCTCAAAAAAAAAAAATCAACTCAGCCACCTTTGGAATCTGAAAAAAGTTTAATTTAATCCACCAAAAAGACTTCTGTGGCCTTTTTAAGTGGTCATAAATTTCAAAAAAGCATTTTGAAAGCAAATTTTTTATGCTGGTAAAGAGGGTAAGCCCTTATTCCTTGAAGCATTACAAAATTTTTACAACTTGATCAAGTCAGGTTTCAACGATATGCAAGTACTTATTTTCATATAGAATATCATCTCATCCAAATCTCAGAGCAACAGAAAAAAATCATGACTTGTTGATAAGTGCCTTAGTTTCTTTTCCAGCACCGCAATTCACCACTGTCTACTTCAAACTTTGTAAGTTAATTACTGATTAACTGTAAAAGTTGCATGGCCATAAAAAATTTTTTTGGCATGTTAATTGTTTACATTTCAGATGCATATTCAGGTACTACACCTTCAAGTTCAGCACTCCCACTTGGAAAACTAAGCATTTGGTCACTTGTTCCATTTCCGCCCCACCCCCTCCTTTCTTAAACAGGCTTTCTAAAACCAAACCAAGAGTCATCTCAATCCCCCGTCAGAACCATGACTCCTGGTAACACCACACAGAAGGTGGCAGCTTGCAGCTGCTCATTATTTCTTCCTCCCAACATAACTCATCCTATGCGGTAAGAGATGGAAGAAGGTTTGCATGTTATCATTTGAAGCAAGAACAGTTTCCATGGGGGGGAAACTTAAAATATGTACATAAAATATCAGCCTGAATAACTTTATGCAACAAAAGATATTTGAAAAAACTGTAGAAATATCTTTATAAAAGGCTATAAAAATATTTAAGGTTGTAAATATTTCAATATATGACTTGAACAGTTTCTTGATGTGCATTTTTAACTTACTTTCTAGATTGCATAGCCTTCAATTGCAAATGTTTCATTTAGTAGTGAAGGTAGTTTCTGAAGTTTAATCTTTCTTACTCTGAAGATTCTGGCTACAACACACTCTCTCTTTTTATATAAACCGTTAAGGATTCTCCTCCCTCAGGTATATAGGCGACAGACAACAATACACAATGCAGCAAGAAAGAAAAGCTAGAAACAAAAAGCTAGTAAGAACAAAGACTGAAATCAAGCTGGTTAGTAAATCCTTGGGACTCGTGATCAGAGCTCTAACCAAAGGGAGAACTAAGCTAACATTACGAAGTTGCATCTTTACACAACTTGACAGATTGAGATTCCTGCGTATATGTTACAAAATGACACAGAACTCTTGTATATCTGATTAGGGGATAAGGAACCACATGGCTACTGTGTTGCTTACAGTTTTGAAGACTCTAATGTCAGTATATGACACTTAGCAATCTTAAACAGTGCAGAGTTCCAATAAGAGAAAAATTACCTCAAGAGATCCATCTGCTGTTCTCCCTTTTGTATCTCTTGAGTTACGCTGACGGTTATCTGTTCGTGACTGTTCATCATTTCCTGTAAGAAGAATTAATCAACTAAGTTGTTTGACAAGGACATACAATCTTCTTTTACTTAAAATTTATGCAGGCATAATAGGGAATTACTTCAAGATTTTCATGCTAAAGAACATTAAACAAATATTCTTAATAACATATAACAACAGTACTTAAACTACAGGCCAAGAATCACTAAAGAAAATGTTCTCAGGTGTTAGTCAAAGTAGACAAAACCACAGCGTTTAAAACCACCACAGTTTAAAAGAGACTGTCTACTGACTGAAGAAAAAACACCTCTCAAAATGATTAATCATAGGAGAGAAGTACACAGTTAACTTTAGTAAGGTTTAACATGTTCACATTTTTTCTAATGGCTTATGAGCTTTCCAAATTCTGCATTACCTTTTTTCAAAAAAAACTTATTAAATTAAGCAATACCCATACTTTGAAAAAAACATTTCAAGAAATAAACAGAGTTGTAGACAAAAATATTTAAACAAATAGATATAATGAAATATCACATTATAAAATACATGTATTTAACTTAGATAAGTTCTCCCATCTTACTTTTGCCTGGTCCTTTCCATTGAACACATAAATTACAACCTTATATAATCCTGTTGCATGGAAATCAAATACAAGTAGATGGGAATACGGATAGTTGAGTAAGATAGATTATAAAAGGTTTTTCTATGTCCACTGACAAACTAGAACTTGATTCCTTGACCTCCACGTGTGATGGCACTGCCCACAAACTTGAGTCAAGATGCATATTAGGAAAGCAAATGATTTAGAATGCTATCCCAATTTATTTGTATAGGGAAGAGAGGCTTTATATAACTTATGAAGAGACACTGGGATGGAATGCCTCCTTAGCAATTCTGCAGATGACACCAAACTGTGGGAAGTGGTTTGATACACTGGAAGTCAGGGCTGCTAATCACAAGGACCTCAATGCACTGAAGGAATGGGCTGACAGAAAACTCATTAGCTTTAAAGATGAATCCAAAGTCCCACAGCTTCAACACGATAACCCCATGCAATAGCACATGCTGTGGACTGACTGTGTACGCAGCAGCTTCACACAAAAGGAGCTGTCTGGGTGGAAAACAACTTGCAAGAGCACACATGTCTTTTTCAACAATGACAGCTGATGGAATAATGGGTTGTATTAGTAGGAGTGTGGCCAGCAGCTCAAAAGAAGGGATTATTCCCCTCTGCTCAACATTCAACACATCTGAAATAAAATATTCAATTTAAGAGACTAACAAAGTAGAGAGAATTCAGGAGAGGGCCACCAGGCTGGAGCAGATGACAAAACAAGAGGCTGACAGAAGTGAGTTTGCTTAAGGATTCCAACACTGACTTCTCTTCCAAAATTAAGCCTACATTTACCTTTGAATCCTCCGCGACCCCTCCCTCCTTGCCCTCTTGCACCACCTCCACGTCTTCGCCCATCTCCTCTACGAAGGTAGTTGTCTCGCTCCTCTTCTGCTGGGGCTGCTGACCAATCACTAAGTTCATCTCTGTGATCAGATTCTGTTTCAGAAGCATTTGATGCTTCAGAATTAGTTCCTATCAAGAGGATAAAAAAAAATCCAAACACGCCAGTGTAGCTTAGCATGAAAATACTATAGTAGAATGAAAACAGTATATATTTAAAAATTTTCTTCTTTTTAGTTTTTAATAAACGATTCTGGGATTTTTTGCCTCCCAACCTCTGTAACATACATAATACAGAAATGTGTATAATATACATTACTTCTTCAAAAAGACAAGACAGACATAAATAGAAGTTAGAAGTGCGTTTAAGGTTAAATAATTGTGTTACATGTTTATAGTTACTTGGTGTTATCAGCCTATCGATATATTATTTAATCTACTATGTAAATGTACCAAGTCTAGTAAAACATAAGAAATCTGATAGACTAGCCTTTCTTTCATATTTCTAAAACTGAAAGTTCTGAATATAACCTGTCCTGTCTCCCCTCACCACTGCAACTCCTCTAAGAAAAAATTCCATCATGAAACAGCCTGTAACACGCACTAGAAAAGCAGAGAACAAAGTTAGAATGCTAGAAATGTATCAAATCCAAAGCAACTGGCCATTACAATTTTTCCAGTTAACAGATCACTTTTACTGATAAAAGCTGGTTCTTTTGAATTTTTTTCCCCCTATAACCCTGTTATTAGGCAAGTGAGCTCACATCTTCTAAAAATATTAAAAGGGCTTCAGCACAAAAACATTAATTTTGTATTACATAGAACGTAAGCTAAGACTGTCTTATCAAGCTTATACTACAGGCCTTTCAGTCAGGACAAACACCAGCTGACCTACATTATGGATAATGAAGTAAAAGATTTCTCTGAAGCAGCACAATCCTGAAAACTATTCATTAATGAATTATACAAGGTTTTAAAGAGGAACACTATGTTTTGGTGACTATGCTCTTGTAGTAAAAACATAAAAGTTCAATTTAATATGAGGAAAATAGCTTTTCTGCAAATTGAGCTACACAGTATTTTCACTTATAAATATTTATATTAAGATAGCCTCTTACAGGCTCAAATGAAAACTGAGGCTTTATTATCAGGAATTGTTCAAAATAAAGTAACAATCCTTGCCCTAAAGAGTTCATAATGTAGAAGACATAAGCCTGCTGTAAAAGACAGGAACTGCATGACAATAAGTTTAGATTATATATAAGCACTACGTTTTACTTCAGAATATTTTCTAACAGCATAAAGCTCTAGATAATCTTGAAATATTAATACTCAATATTAACTGAATTTCTGTTTTAATAGCTCTGTTTCCAAGTCCAGTCTTTTTCAAGAAATCAAAAGACCAGCAGGCCACTCTTAAAACTGTAAATGTACTTCTAGTTACCTACCTGAAGCATAGCCTGGACCACGTCTGCTATGCCCTCTGTTTCTATAAGGTCGACTACCGCGTCCAAGTCCTGGCCCGTCGTCAGTCATGTACCCTTTTTCCTTATCTGTACGATTTGGTGGTGGCCTAGAAGTAGCTCCAATCTGTCGAAGCTGCTCATCAATTTGCAATCTTTCCAAACGCAGCTGGTCCACTTCCTACACAAACACAAGCATAGCAAGTCATATGTAACCACTATCTAATCATCTGAATGTACAGACATGCAGTTTTCAGAAATAAAAAGCACTTAAGTATTGCAACTAATAATCTATTTAATAATTAAATAGTAACTCAGCTTTGAGAATAATTTGTTTACCAAAAAAACCTTTCAAATGTTCAAATCTGTTTGTTACCAATACAATTCTCCCTGTGGCACAGTTGGCAAGTTTAGGTTTGCTTAAAATAGATATATCAAGAAAAAGCACTCAGATCAACTCTTTTCAGGAGATATAATTAACTATACTTCAGTATTAAATTTGAGATCTTTACCCTTAAGGAAGTTAAACATTCTTTAAACAGAGAAATTAACATTCCTTTATTTTTGAACATAGTAATATCATCCATTTATAGCATTCCAACAATGGCGTAATTTAAACTTTTTAGATTCCAGCACAAGCTTCTTGCACTGTTGCACATCACAAGTATCAAAGTTATTAAACAATGATGATGTAATAGTATTGTTTAATAAAAAGGGCTAGAGGTTACACTGCTGTTAAATTCCGCTTAATTATAATGAATAATATCAGGGAAGTGAGGAAGCATAAAAGTATAGAGAGCAAAGTGCTGTAACTCAGGCATAGAAAGACAGCCAGCACACAGAATTCTTATCACACATAACCACTAGAAGAGATAAACACAAACAATAATTATCTACAGCGACACATATTCAGAATACTTTTGTCAGTTTGAGATGTTGTCTAGCTAACATCAAAAAGTGGCAACCACTTTTTTTTTTTTTAAAATCAGGGAGAAAGCTATTTGTGAAAGTTTCAGTGTGATATTGGAAGAGACCTCTGGAGGTCACCTAGTCCAGCTAGGACTTTGACAGGATCCTTCGGCACTCAGGGGTGCAATCCCATCAGGTCCCACTGACTTGTGTATATCCCTTCCCTCCCCCCAGATGTTCCCTAACTCAATCTTCCTTTAGGAAGGGTAAGTCACCATTGCTCCAGACTCTCCCATTGGTTTCAGGGGCCTGGTATTCCTTAGGACAAATCTTATCAATAAAAAAACCAAAGTGAAGACGACATTCAGTACCTCATCCTTTTCCTTTGTGACCAAGTTCCCTACTCCATTCAGCAGCAGGCCTGTGTTTTCTGTAGCATTCCTTTTGCTGCCAATATACCTGTAAAAGCCCTTCTTGCTGCCCTCCACATCCCTTGCCATATTCAACTCCAGATGAACTTTGGCTTTCCCAAACTCATCCCTGCACACTCAGATTGTGTCTTTATATTCCTCCTGTGCCACCCGTCCTTATTTCCACCCCTTGTATGCTTCCTTTTTATATTTGAATTTTGCCAGAAGCTCCTTGTTCATCCATGCAGGCCTCCTGTTACTTTTGTGAGACTGCCTGCATATCAAGATGGACTATTCTTGAGCTTGGAGAAGGCGATTCTTTAAATATCAGCCAGTTTTTCTGGACCCGTTTTCTTTCCAGGAATGCATCCCATGGGATTCTTCCAAGCAGATTCCTTAACAGGCCAAAGTCCATTCTCCTCAAGTTTGGGGCTGTGATCCTGGTATTAGTCTTTCTCCTTCCTCTCAGGATCCTGAAACTTCACTACGTAACAGTCACTTCAGCCAAGTCTGGTTTCTTCTTTTATAGAGAAATTCACTACTTTGAGTTGATATATTACATTTGATGTTGATGCCCCATCGTGTATCTTTTACAAAAAGTTTCCTTAATAAACTTTGCCTGGAGGCATAGAAACACAGAAAATCTTAAAGGAACAAGACAGTTCCACTTCTTGTCAGTGAACTGGAGAACATTATTCTGAAACTGAACCATAAGGCAACAGGCCACTAACATAACATTTTGTGTGTGCGTGTGTTAAATGGGATGAGAAGGCCGAGATCAAAACCTCCAAGATAGGAATCCATCCTCTAGTGGTTATACAGACTGATGAACACTGTTGCATGTGCCCTTCTGTTGAGAAAGGTTAGGAGGACAGTACTAAGAGAAAGTGACCCTAATTGACAATGAACTGAAGAATCTAAAAAAATTGCTGGGCTATTAAGCACTTTCCACTCACATGCCAGTACCCATTTAAGTACTGTACTGACTCACGTGCAAGTACCCATCTAAGGCAGCCAAAGAAGTTAAACCAGAAATATCTCCTGAAATAATAGTGAATGCAAGAAAGGAGCTTGATTTTTAGTGGTAGTTTTCATGTGGTCCTTCTCTGCCTCACTACCTGATAGCTGCAGAGCTGCTGTATCTCGTCTCTGCTCCAAAACACTGATAAATCCAAGTGCTCCACAAGCAGGATTAAAATGTACAGTTATTGAGTAGGTAAGGGAACAAAAGTAATTTCTTCTTCTAACTCCTCTGATACCTGTACTGAGAAGTTTCTTTTAGCTATGTACAGAAATTTTAGCATTCTAGAAAATTCAGTGATAGCTACTGCACAGACTGGACATGTATCAAATTATGAATGGTCTGGAGGTTTCAAGAGATGCAAGAATATATTTAATTAAATGAACTCAAAGCAGTCATTACTGTTAGCATCTGGCCCTGCCATCAAAGATTGAGCATCTGGCCATAATAGCTATAAGCAAAAGTAACTATAAGCAATGATGTGGGATTTTTTTGCTCCCTATACAAAAGACAAGCAGCACTGCAGAGTACTGGAGAAGTTATGGAGCCAAGAGGCAAACACAACATATAAAGCTGAATTGCCTACAAAACATCCTCAAGTATGAAATGTCAATTAACTACAGAAAAAGAAGTTTAGGATTTTAGAATGAAATGCCCACTGTATACAAGATCTCTGCATAGAATGCTGCTTGCTTTGCAGTTGCATGAGGGTCTGACTATTCCTTGCAGATTAAGTTGTCAGCATTTTTTGAGATACAGGGTTTTTTATTTTTTCTTATTCCTTTGTATTTTGCATTCTGAAAAAAAATTGTTTTTCACCTCATCCTTCAGATAAATGATTCTTTTAATAAAATATGGCTTTTACAAGAAGCCTTTTTAGACTGAAAACCTGTTATAACACCAATTTTTCAACAGCCTTTGGGGGTCAAACAGATTTTGATCATCACCTCATTGCTACCATCGTAAGTATTGATAGAAAAGTTTCAGTGGTAAAGCAGGACCATTTTCCTCACCTTTAAATAATTAAGATGATAATCCAGAAGAACAGTTGCATTAGTGATGCTATCCTTGGTTCCCACAAACACAAATGGTACCATTCCCTAAAACACAGTAACAGTAGTCTTATGGTTATTGATTGGTTCTCTTCAGCGTTTGATGCCTAAACATATTACTTTAAAACTTGAAAACATTTTTTACAACATGGATAAGCGTAAGTTAAAAAATAAATGAGACAATAGTATATTTAAATTTTGATGTTGACTAGATCACATAGACTAATTCCCTTTATGCAAAGAGCTTTTTTTTTTTAATAAGAAAATTTAGATTGTATGCATCACGATGCTAACATTTATTTTCCTGAACAAGTTAAAAAGTCAATCCAAAACACTTCAGGTTTACTCCCTGCAAAATTAATATCATCTTTGCTGATCACGTCTACTCTCTCACACCAGGTTCTTTTAGGCTACATGTCAGTAAAGAAACTTTTGATCTTTTAAAAAAAGTAAATCAAATTAACATCGTGTCATAAAACACAACTTGATCCTTCTTGAGGGTCTCTCAATTTGTAAAAGGCAAACAAAAAATATTCAAGAAATAAAGTTAGTACTTCAGGTAATGACTGCTACCTTGTATTTCTTTTACCTTTCAAGCATTTTGTTTAAGCAATTCAACAAATACCTGAAAAACGTAAATACCTGGAAATTCTAATGCCTGAAATTATGACTCTTGGAGATAAAATATCTAAAGACTAAACTTAGGCAGCCAAAGCAGGCTAAGAAATCTACCTAAAAGGGCTCCCCTGAGTGCTGAAAACAACTAAACTTTAGCAGATACAAGGATAATTTCCACACCAAAACTCCTGACACTAAAATAGGTCTATGCAGCATTTCAGAGGTGTGACTGCAGCCCACACAGACCCAATGAGCTAACTTTAAACTACTTGACTCTTGTACCAGCTGCAGCCTCACCACGGCAGTATAAGCTTCACTGTGGACTGCAGAAATCAACCTGAAAGTCTCAAACACTCAGCTGCTGAAACCTATGTCATTGCAGACCCAGAGCTTGGCTACACCTACTGAATTAATTTAAATTTTGTTTTTGTATCTCATCATGACCTCTAAAGACAACTTTGATTTTTACTGTACACATACCCTTTACAGGACTGCATTCCAAATGAGGGTTTTTTTTGCAAAAGTGAAGTGAAAAAATAACACATGCACAGTATGCTGAGGTTCCTAAGAGTGGCAAGTCTATAATTTGTCTCTGCTTTTTGGATTTTTTTTTCTTTTTTTTTTCTTTTACATACTAATAACTTTTGTTAAATCTTACACATTTGCTTTAAATAACAAGGAAAAAAATTACATAACCCTCTAATCCTAAGAAACCTTAGCACTAACTTTCACGAGCGTTAGCAATCCTTTAGCGACAGGCATTGTTGACTGAAATGTTTTATTATCTGGGGTATTTTAAGTTTCATAAATAACCTGATAAAGAGCTATGAAATATCTACTAAACTGGCATTAACTTGCACATACTATCAATTATTAGAAGATCACAAGACAACTGACTTAAAAAGGCATTTAAGGAAACGGCTTGTTGTTGCTTTTAGCAGTGGATTGTAGGTATAGCAATGCCAACTACTAAGAATACAAGCTGGTAACAATGTCAAGCAATTTTAGCCATACAAAAGCATCAAAGTGCTTATTTATGGAACCTTATTTCTGTCTTCAAAGCAAAAGTACCAATCTTCAACTTAGTTTCTGTGGTGAATACTGAGCAGACCTTATGCGTGTAAGAAGTTTAGAGATAAAAATAATATATACTACTATAACAAACAGTACCTATCTAATTTTAAAAAGATGAAAAGCCTGAAGATCCTGTTATAAAATTATGGGAGTTATGAAATTGCACCTGAAATGTATGGGGAGTATTCTAACATCTCAGTCATAAGAAAAAGAACCCAATGCTGTATTAAAATTTAAATCTGAACTACTGTTCTTTATTAAAAGAAGGGCTGTAGTATCCAAGTACACACATAGGAGAATTAATGCACATTTACTTCAAAGATGAAACACAAATAAACTTACAAGAACTAACTCTTACCTGCCAAGATTTGATCTCGGGTTTCTGTGTTGCTCCTGGTATGACACAACTAACACGTGAAGCAGTGTAAGCAATGCCAGTGTTAGCAATGTCATTAACAGGTAAAACAGAAGTATGAATGCAGGCTTGGCAGGCGAGAAAAGCTTTCAAGTTAATCTTTAAAAGCTGCATTTTGGAGTGAAGAACATCAACAAATAAGCTTTTTCAAGCCAGAACAAAAAAAAGAAAACCTGACATACTAATTGCAGCCATGACTAGTCACTTTTACCCTTCTATTATTCTGTAGGCTGACACATTAAAAATGTTGAAAGTTTTAGCTTGCAGCAATAATAGCATCCTCTTGCTTATTAAGCTAGTTCAAGAATTTTATGCTGCAAGAATTTATCATTAGAAATGAAATATGACATAGCAGTGAATCCTTTAAATCTCAACATTGACTATTTTACCTTTTCAGATAGATGTAAAACTAGTAAAGTAGTAAAAAACCCACCTTACTTATTTGCTTAGCCACCATTTTCAGAAAGATGGAAATTGGATTGTGGGTCTTCAGTAATAGTTTTGCAGTGATAATACAAAAGATGAAATAACTACTCAAGCAAGAACCTAAGCGTTCCAGAAATGTATTTCATATCTTATTCAAAGTAGCAAAGGTTCCTTACCTGGTACATATTTAGATTTCCAGGTAAATTAAAGACAGTTCAGTTTTCTTTAAGCACATTTCGCATTTGAAATTGCAGGTAATTTTTTTGCATTGACCTGTTAAAAGCTTCATGCCTGAAGATTTCCTTGCAAACCTGCAACTTTTCTGTTCAACACAGCCCCACATAAAAGCACCTCAAATTATGAAGTTCAAGACTTCATTAAGGCCCTTTATGGGGCTGATAGCCTCCCCGTGCAAACCTGGAGTATCACATTGTTCATGCTTATTTTTTCTTCAGGTTACAATTTACAGGCTAATGTGAATTTAAGTAATATATAAAAAAAGAGAGGTTTATACATAAAGCACAAGATTTCATTACAATATAAGAAATTACTAATAAAAATTTAAACCAGGTAAAACCCTAAGAGATCAAACTCAAAGCAAATTAATGAATAAAACCAGTAAGTTTCACATATACTGATTTACAGCTTAGCAAGTGCTGGGAAACAGCGTCACTGCTTCTAACAGGAATAAAATGAAATCTCTAAGAAGGTGCATCACAAAAAATTTCATAAAGCATTTTTCAACACAGATAAGTCAAATTTATATAAAAATGCCCCTCAGCATTAATGGGGAAATATAGATTCCAACAGAAAACACACACATTAATCAAAACTATCTTACCACTAGAAGATACAGGGAAGAATTCATTTTATCACTGGGTAGAATATAACCACCAATTAACACATACAGAAATCACATTAACTGAAAACATACCTCTTCTTGTGGAATATTTTTATCATTTTCAGCCTCAATTCTCACTCTTACAACACCAGATTTGTCCACTATCTCCTGAATCAGTTTTCCATTTTTTCCTATTACTTTTCCTACAGAAAGAACATACAGAACATTCCACCTTTAGGGTTTTCCCCCAAACCTGACAGTATTACTATACTCTAATTAAACAAAAGTATTCAGTACCAGTGCAAGAACTTGTCAAAAATGACTTAATACTCCACAACAAAGATTTAGTTAACGAGCCATGAACTAAAATGTCTAAGTAAGCTTGGGGCATTAACTTGGTAATGTTCCAAAGCAACCACTGCAGCATACAGGGAGAGGGGTACTTTATTATGAAAATTTGTTAGAGTATAGTTTCCTTCTTTTTCAAAGCTCCTATAAGAGAACAAAGGAAATTCAATCACAAATGCCTTACCTTTGTATAAAATTATTTGAAATTACACATCTTGATTACAGAAATATTCAGTATCTTGCATGCTTATTTGGCTTTGCTTTGGTAGGTTTAAAATGACATTGCTGGTTACATTTAAAAAAAAAACCAAACAAACAAAACAAAAAACCCTTTTACAATGCCCTAACACTTGCTGTAACTACCTTTTGAGTAGAGAACAAAGCAAAACTCTTAGTTCACTCACAAAAATTTTAGTTGATGAAGTTTTCTGATACTACCGAAGGTACTGTTTGAGCCAGTATGTAAAATTCTCTTCTCTGAAACTGAGCTTTTTTTTTTTTTAAGAGATATTTGAGAATAGTTTATAATTCATTAAAAAGTCAAAGATAAAAATGGAAATAAATTATACTCTAATGCCAGTAATGCATACATTTATCTTAGGAACCAGACATTCTCATTTGAGACAATGAAAATTAAAATTTTAGGTCTCTCCAACCTAAGCAAAATAACTTGTTGTCTGACAATTGACAGGAAAACTGAGCTGCTGGGGAGGTAATGAGGAAGGGCCATATCCTTCAATCATAGCATTAAAGAAAAGCTTAAAAGACTGATATAAAAGATGTTTTCTGCATGTAACAAATAAAGATTTTCTATTTTTTTTTCTTAACAAAACTGCTGGAAAACTTGCAATGTAACCTTTTTCACAGGCACATCACTGAAATAAAGGCAAAAAATACTGAGTGCATGACAGCTATTGTTTTGCTGATACAATTAATCCATGAAGAACAAATTAAAACCCACTTTTAATCACACGGGACATTGTTTCTAGTGTTCAAAGCTAAATAAATTTTCATTTTTGTGTTTCAATTTTTCTACTATGAATTTTTAAATCCTACATATTTGTAGAAAACATGACAAAAGATGGACAATAAGTTCTTCCTTGATGACAAAAGCTGGTCTGAGAGTCAAAAGCTTCTTCTGAGTACTATATTCCATTACACATCACTAGCAAATATAACAGCAGCTTACTAATAAATGTAAAAAAGCCTTGGTAGTAATTTTAAAAAGGCAAGTAAACCAAAAAAGAAAAAAGAAAAAAGAAGAGAACGAACCTCACAATGGTTATCCCATTGTAGGGACATCTTTTTAAATATCTATTTAAATATCTTTTTAAATATCTTGTCCCCATCTTTTTAAATATTTGTTTTTAGTTAGAATTCAGCAACATACATAAAAATCTTTAAAAATAATTAAGGACTGCATGCATATATTTTTAACCTATGTTTCAGGTTATAAATTTCCATACAGCCTTTAAAAAAGCAACATCTTGAGTGGTTTTTTTTGTTTGGTTTGAAGTTTTTTAAAGGATAATTAAGTAGAAAATGCCAGATGCTTGCATTTTCTTTAGATAAAAAAATTCAGGATATCAACAATGTAGTAAAAGGAAAAAAGCCTTCTGCCTTTTTAAAGCAAATTATATAGTTTTCTGGCAAATTATTAGAAATTTAAAAGGGCAAATTATCAAACATAGCTTATTTTGGATATAACACATCATTCAGCCAATTTTATTCTAAAGGATCCAGGCCAAGAAGCAGAGTAGAAATGAAAAACTGCCAAAACAGAAATAATTGCAAAGATCTAAGCAGAAAACAAAACCAAAGAAATTAAAACCTCAAGTTAAAATAATGTTGGCAGCTTATCATTCTTACTTATTACCAGTAGAATCAGGAGGGAGTGGGGAAGGGAAAACTACTGTTTTTAAATCAGTTTCAAAGTTGAGGTGCCACATTTGTAAGTACTAGTCCCATTGCAGAATTTCATACGGCTTCAACACCAGCTGTCATACACTGCTTAACAACTCACTAAAGTATTTGCTTCTAGAGGTATGTTAGACCATATTGTATTTTCCCTGTTCTTTTCTTATCTACTGAATTAAGCCGTGTATTTTTATGTTGCTTTGTAGCGTCAAAAGCTCATTAAAAGATTTTCCCCCACACACAAGGGCTGCGTGCATTCTTGAGGACTTTTTTTAGGGTGTTTGATAATGGAAATGTATTAGATTGCCTTTGGGGTATTTTCGTGATCATTGGGTACGTTCAGTTTATCCCGGAGTGCTACTTCTAAACAAACTGTATTTCAGATGTAAAAGGACAGGAAAAAAGACAAATACAAGTCAAAGAAATTATTCAAAATATACTAGGAAAATATGAGACTGCAAATTCATCGGTTGTATAGCTGAACTAATCTCTGGACATCTTTAGAGGAACTCATTTAATTCTTTGGCTCAATCCAGAAGCTATTCTACCTTGTATTTAAACATCAGCAGATTGCTTCTAGTTTAAGAACCACAACCCTGAACCACAAACCAGGAGGTAATTTCTTACAATGTACTGAAGATAAATGTGTCTGTAAAAATTCTGCATGGAGCTGGAAAACAAAACAGAAAAGCCCTGATCCCAAAAACTTTGTATCACCTAGAACCCTTTCACAAAGAAAATTTCTTCAATTTTACCCTGCCACCCTTCTAAAAGTAAAAAAACAGTTCTCAGAAGGCATTTTTCCTTACTATCACACAGTTAGCCTCCAGAATTGACATACCTACTAAATTTCTTGGTACTTGTATGACATCTTCAGCAAATTCAAGGTAACTTCTTGCCTTTTTCACTGCATCCTGATCCTAAAATAGATAGATGTATGAGAGAAACGAGATCCATTTTCCCAAGGTTTTGGGGGTATTTTTTTGTTTTTTTTGGAAAGGCTAAAGAAGGGAACTTACCTCTCCATAAATATGGAATGTGCAAGTATCTTCATCAAGATCAATAGCAGTCACTCCAGGGACTTTTCTGGCTTGCTGAATATTAGCACCATGAGTGCCAATGGCCAAACCCATTAGGTCTTCGCGTACAACAAACTGTTCATGAAATCGTGATGCAAGTTGTCTAGAACTCTGAAGAAAATTATGTTAGCTTACTTTGATTTTTAGTACACCGGAGAGAGAATTCAACATAAATTTAGAGCCGATTCTTTAATCGGGTACTTAGCCTACTTTTTAATCAATCCTTTTAATGCACTTATTTTCACTTCAAAAACACTGAAGAGTCTAGCCTCTAGTTGTGTTGGCACCTTTATATTTTGAATTACCACAGAATATCTACAGCTATCAAGTGTTACTAGGTAAGACAGCATTCATGTAGGTTAGTAAAATAGGAGCTGTGTTGATAATTAAAGCAAACCCTATGATGTCTGAGAAAAAAACTGCACCCATTTCAACAGGTAGAGGGAAACAGCAATAACTCAATCACTGGACACAAAAATTATATAGAAAACAGAGTAACTATGGGTATCTACTGCACTTAAAAAATAAAATGAAGAATCTGTGCCTAAGCAAGACAACACAAAATTAAGTTATAACTGCAATACATTGCTTGAATACAGAGAACAAATATGTTAAGAATTTCATCCAGGAATCACATTTCTACCAAGACAGAAGGGTCAATCTGAGAACTTGAGATTGTCACATGCTATCAAGACAAAATTCCTTGCTTCAGCAGGGCAGTAACAATGACTGAAGACTATACTATTAACATGACTTTCAATCACATGTTTGAGGCTCAGTTACTCTCGAATTAAACACCTGGTTACTCTTTTCCAACTCTCATCACCTTAGCATGCAACTGCTATGGTGTAACCAAACAATACAAAATGGCTTACAGAATCTTAATGAGGACCTCCTATATGAAATAAGATACCAAGAAAGAAAAAGAAAAACCAACAAAAACCTAACCAACTTCTGGATCTAGAAGAGGATTTTCAAGATAACTGAAAAAGTATCCCTAGAAACCTGGATAAAGCTTGCAAAAAGAATATACAAAACAGGGAAAAACAAACAAACTGTAACTCCAACGACCATAGTAAACAGTTTCTTAAAGCAGCCCTGAGCTTCCAGAAGAACTATGTCAGCAAGCTCTGATTTGATGCACAAGTATGCATACACACGCCCATATGTAAAATACAGGTTCAATATTTTCTTAATCGTATAAAGCTTCAACCACACAGCAAGCACATAGAAGAGAGCTGGGAACAGAAGGAAGCTTTTGAGAAGTATCTTGTAGCACACTGTGGAGTTGGATGGCGCTGAAAATACTCAAATGTGCAGGAAACCTAGTTTTCATCAACACCCATACAATTCTGCATTGATATGAACAGCCTCTGTCAATCCCAGGTGGCTCAGATTATTAGGATGAACAGACCTCATGAGTGCAAGGAAAAACACTTGGAAAATGCTGAATTGCATGCAGTTCAGAACCTGTCAAGCAAGTGGGGAAAAAAGATAAGTGGACACATTTAAAAAAAAAAGTTTAAAAAGACTAAAACAATGACTGATAAACTTCTCCTACACAGCCTCTTCATACTTTCAAAAAACAGTTTTCTTATAAGATGCTTGTGCTATATGAAGCAGGAAGATCACTAAGTTTGGTCACCCTGAGAACTAAAAGAAACATACGGAGAGAAATCAGTAAGATATAAACATAAAGAACAAAATATATATTGTTTATGATAAATAACTTGTTATACATTTAAAGGAAGTTATAGTACTTAAATCTACAGAGAAGAGCAAATATAAAATATGTTAAAAAGTCTTTATTTACCACAGTGAGTAAAATTCCTACATAAAAACGTGGACACTATCCACAAGTGTCTGAGCATAACAGAACACAGGAAAGTAACAATAGCTTAATGCATCAAGGGAAGACAGAGAATTTCCAACTGTGATTATCTATTAAGTAAAATGGAAAGTGTGTTTTGCAAGGAAGAAAAAAGATAAAGCTGCATATTATCTTTCCAGAGCCAAGATATATAATCCTATATATGTTTCTGCATTGCAATCAAAGCTGTAACTACTGTGAAGACATATACAAGCACACTTTAAATTAGCAGTTTAACCTCAGCAACATGAGACCCTACAGAGGTTGAGGAAACATCAAGAAAGTGCCCACAGTAAGCCCTACTCTGTCCCAGCTAAACTGCTATTGTTATCTGACCTGCTCCTGCTTAAAGCTGTTGATAAATATCCTGTGCTAAATCACTGTCACAGAGAATTGGCTACAGCAGATAGTGGTATAAGTATCCAAGTATCATGAAATCCTTCATATACTCGGGGAGCTCTATCAAGCATTTTATTAACTAGATTACAGACAACTCAGAAAGCAAACATTATTTTAAATGCTCAGAGATCTACATTCTAACAGATAATCCAAATGCCGATTTACTAGTTGACATCTGTTATAGACCACCACATGAGAGTAAAGAACAGGATCATCAAGTCAATGATCAGTTGTTAACACAACTATCTACGATATGTAGAAAAGGTGAAGCTACATCATCATTGGCAACCTTGGCTATGACAGTCAAACTGCAGTTATATTGCTTGTACTAAAATATCATTAGCTTTTCTGTAAGTTATGTAATATAAGATGTATTTTATTTAAACATAATTCTGTATTCTACTTCCCTCCAATAAATTAGTAAGAAACAACTATGCAAATAATGTATTAATACCTACTTAGAGGCCATGACTGAATTGCATTTAGATAGAATAAAATACAAACCAGAAAAGCAAAAGTACACTTGTAAATTCAGGTTTTTTAGTATGTCAAAATAACAACTAAGCCACACCTACTGGGAAATAATGCAAACAAAAAATAATTGGTTGTTTTACTTGATGCTCTAAAAGCCACATTTGAGAAGTACAACCATGCAAGTCAAGAAGCTAATATGCGGAAAAGAAGGTACAAGATACAACAGCTGGAAAGAAAAAAAACAAAAGAAGCTGGTCTAGTAATTATGGCTCAGAAAGCAGAGAAGGTAAAACTACTACAAGAAAAAAAGTGGCAGACATTTAAAGTTCAGCGAGTATAAGACCTAGAAAAGAGTTTACTTGATGGAAACAATCAACTATTAATAATAATAATGCAGTAAAGCCCAAAGCATTCACTACATATTTCTTCTGCAAATGGACATGTGCAGTCTGTTTGTATGTCAGTATCTCAACAAAAATCATGAGTATGATTTTTACTATCTGAAGCTTTTCTTTTCAGGTTTGGTTGAAATTGATTTTATATTATAAGCACAGGAAACAAATGCCAACATGAAAAATACCAGCCAACTTTTGTCATACAAATTGTAACTATATATATTTATCTTGCAACAACCTTCACTTAAGTACTGCTCAGGTAGAAACTGAAGTCCGATAATGGTTTTCTAGAGAGAACCAAATCAAGTTCTCAAGTCCTTCACAGCAATGAAAAGGTTCAGCCTTACAATGACAGCAAGTATCCAAGATCAGTTTGGGAAAGGAATCAATGACAACAGCTGTTGGTGCATGCATTTGTGGGGGCATGTAAAGAGCATTAGCTCTAAAGAAGCTGTTGTTGTTCCCACCTCCAAAATAATACTTTGCACTTGAAGAGGTGAACTGCCCACACAATTGTCAGTTCTGGAGGAAGACAGAGAAGAACGGAGTACTGAAGAGCTACAGTGGGGTGCTCAAGAAGGAACACCAATGAAAAGAAACCGGTCCTTTCTCGGTCTTGAGAAAAATCAAGACCCAAACAAACTTGGATTACAGCTCTGAAATATAGAAATTGAGAGACTGAAAAGAGCACAGAAGAGAGAACTTCTTGTAACAGTGAGTACCCCTACTGGATACAAGAGGCCTGAACTACTGCACCACGTCCCACTTCAAGCTAATACCAAATAGATGTAACCCTTGGGTTGGGGGGGAATGAAACCTGGCTCTGAAGTAACAGAGCTGGTATACACCCATGTAAAACTGCATTACAATAGCTCGAGTGGTACTTTTAGTTCTCAACAGTGAATCTAAAGAAGTTTTCAGAAATGTTGCTATTTTTTCTGATTTGTAGATAGGAGAAAAACCATGAAGAAATGTTAATTCTACTGTATAAAGATCCCCTTATTTCCTAGCCTACTCTTTTTTTTCTTCCCATGGACAAGTATGAGTCAAGCTTCTTGCCAGTCAACACCCACTCTCCAGTCACAGGAATATCAGAAGCTGTATCTGCTGTAAGATGATTTCCTAACATTTTATCTATAGACAAACCCATCCCTTCGTACGTCCTACCACATCAGTCTCAACCCTTCCATCTCTCATTTTCACTGAGGTGTTTTGCAAGATCCAGTTCTAGTCCATCTCAGATCATGCCACATTCATTCCCATCTATTTTTAAAAACAGTAATTCAAAGCAATCGAATATGTGGCACTAGTCGTGCAACAATGGCTAATTATTTTATGCTTCAAACTATGAAAGAAATACATGTATATATGTGTGTGTATATATATTTGTATTTAATCCCACACCTGAATAAAATGGGATTGGATAAAGATGAGTCTTTGCAAGAACAGGCCCTTTAAGCGTAAACTTCTTTGTTGGGTTACATCTCCATCTGCCTCTTTTTAACACCAAGAATAGTATCAGTACATAATAATTACTTTCATCCCAGTGCAAGTCCTACCAGCTAACAAACACACAATGTTTTTTTGTTGGGTTTTTTTTTTTGTTTTTGGTTTTTTTTTTTTTACTCAACTTACTTCAGGGAAAACAAACAACATACCTCCAGCTGTTTGCTAGCTTCTTCATTTCTCAGTATCAGGGATAACTTGGTACGAAGACTTCGAAAGTGCATATCAATCAGCATATTTGCCCGCTTTGTTGTTACATCATTGATTGACTAAATTATTAATAAAGAAAGCACAGTGGTTTATACATGAATTTTGAAACAAACCACTGCCAATGGTATGGTTAGACATTTGTACTTACCAAAATAATAAGCTGGTGGTTTTCAGAATCGTATGTTACAGAAAAAGCTCCAACTGCCTTTTTGAAGTCCTTATGTGCAGATTCTTTGGCACACCTAGGAATAAAAACGCTACAAAGTTAAAAATAATAACTGCTGCATTTACGGTTCACAGCCAAAAAGATTAATTTCTTAATACAAAGAATCTAAATAAATATATCCAAGTTCTCCCTTTTAATGCAGGTGTTATTTTATTCTGTTATCATCATTTATTTTACTCATTTTTCTTTCATTTGTTTTCACATGAGTAGAATTAGAAATATTTCAGAAGTTTTCTGTATGTACATCTATGAAACAACAAACCAGTTAAGTAAAACTACATTAAAAAGCTATAATCGTTACAATCAGGAAGTCCAAAATTTCAAACACACCATGAACCAGTATGATGCGTGACTTCACTGTAACCACTGCAGCATTCTAATGACCTTATGCTCATCTCATGCTGTATTTTGCTTCTCCAGGCTTCTTCTGTCCTCTCACTACTTAGTGAACTTGTGTACTGTAACATTAACTTCAGAAATTCTTAGTTTAACCTGAATTTATAGCTTATTCCACATTGTGGCATGTATCTCAAAAAAGCAGAGAGTGATCTGAAGCTAAAAAACGGTAGTCAGTATTAATCTGAGTTTTAGAGCTATATTTACATGAGAATGACATGTCCGTGTTCTAGGAGTAAACTAGCTGTTTCTGTATCATACTATGGGAGGTTTGATTATTGCACAACTGTTCCCACAGCCATCATCAAAACACCTTATGCCCTACAATATAAGGCAGTGTTTTCTTTCGTCATTAAATACCAACTTGCATAGATTGTCAGATACTCTATCAATGAAAGAGTGACCACTTGAAAATGACCAATAAAGTTGACAAAGAATGGATTCAGATTAATCTGTGCACATCACTGAAATGCTGTAAGAATTAAAATCTTAATCTATACTGCACACAAACCTTAAAACCTTGACAAAAATATTTCTTCCTCCGGGAGTAAACTGCATTTCAAAAGTCATCTTTTCTATTTCTGAAGTATGAACATGTCCACAATTGTATTTTCTACATTCTTATATGAAAATTTTAGAAGTTAATTTACAGCAGTAAAAAGCATTTTTATTCCTTCTTGTCTCAGGCTCAAGAAGTTACCCACATTTTGAAACAAGTTATGAAGAAACGCTTGTACTTACATTTGCCTTAAATCTTCTGGAACTGCCAGTTTGATTTTATGAAAAGTATCTTTTGTTGCGGGTTTATTGGGGTTCACAGATCTCAAACGCTCAATTGTGACAATTTCATTGTATGTAGCATCACAGGCTGCGTACTCTATTACGTAGAACTGATATAAAAATAATAAAATCATCCAAGCCACACATTTTATGACAAGAGTGAGCATTACGCTTAAGTGACAGGCACTTTTGTTAACTGTACAAGTCAAATTTGAACTTTTCAGGTTGAGATTAATCGTAATTGCAACAGTCCTACTCAAGAAGCTCTTTGAAAATGAAGAGGGATAAGGTAAAAACACCGTGCATATCAATATAAAAAAACCCAACATAAGAAAAATAAAGTACAAATAAATATAAAAAATATATATGTATATATGCATATTCCTACCTCACCCTTTATCATTCTCACTTTAGCCAACCACCAACAGCAGGGTTCTTTTTCATTTGCCCTGGAATAAACCTAAACAAAATACCTATATTAGATATCTGTAGCATTCTTAAAAGACATCATAGAAGCTGACACTAACCAATATGATCAGGAACTCTGCTATAGGAACAAAATCCAGCAAAATATATTGGTCCATAAAGTCTCTAATCTAAGCACTACATAGGAAGCATGTAACAGCTGAAATGTCTATTGCAAATACAGGTAGGATATAAAATTACATATGTAAGATTGTACAGATAAATAATTTTGTGCCCAATCTACTGGCATTAGTTGCTTCAGTCTTGCATACAGTCAGAAAAGAGATAATTCAGCCTTTTAACACCTGTTAATATTTAATCAACAATATTGCTAATTGCACGTAGGTCTGATGAGGTCCTACCAGTGGGTGGAAGGGAGAGGACACATATCTGCACTTCTTTAGCACATATACGATATTGGCCACATTCAAGCCAAATAAGTTTTGCCATTTTCTTATCTTTCAAATCAAAATAAACTTAAAATAGCATACAAGCAAAATGTAAATCTTGAAAGTTCTTTCTTTAAAGTAATTCTAAAAATCAATTTTATAATTTTATAAAATAAGGAAGCTTTAGGAATGTGTTACGTTAAAGACAGCCTCTCTACATATACATAAGTATTTACATATACACATGTATTTGTATATTTTATGTACACACATATAATGGAAATTATCTCGTTCAGCTTAAAGTTTTGGTATTATAGACATTATTAACTTACAGCTGAAGAACTACAGTCCAGCATCTATTTCTAGATTAATTCAGTTCTGATAAAGAACTGATCTGTAATCAAAGAAACACTGATCACGTTTGTAAATCAGCATGGAGGTCATGGTACATGGAATTCCAAAACAGCCGTATGGTTTACAACTGTCCAAATCTCTTTTTGATGACATGCTTGACATTGTGTTTTATGTAGTACTTGGAATCAAAAAAGGTGACAGCATATAACATGGAAGCAAGCCTTCCACTGGCTTGGCTGACATTTTTCATCCTGAGTTCTCCCACTTCTCAAAACAAACGTTAATGGAGCATACATACCTCTACTTCATCGCTTTCATTTATATCTTTATTATAGCCTGCAGGTGGTGGAAACCTCACATCATGGAATGGTATTTGTCTTTCTGGTTGCCAGCTAGAAATAAAAACACGGTGAACGGCCTAAACATTTTCACTTTCTTTGTAAAGAGAAATCAGAAATATTTTCAATCCATTAATCTTACAGTTTTAAATTTTGTGGAGCTTTTATTAATATGTATTAAAGGTAATGTGATCCAATGTATACATGATAAGAAGAAACACACCTAAGTGACCATTAGGCATCTTAAATGAATCTCTGATGCTACCTGCACTGTTTTGAAATCTTCCAGCAGCGGTTTTTACTCTATTTACAGTTATAGGTTTTAACCTCAACATTAGAAACACAGGTTAAAAAACGTTACGTAACACGCTTGGACACTTCCTTCAAAACAAGCCTGTTTCTTCTTTTTCTTTGGTTCTACTATAGATTATAAAAACTTCATAAGGATTCTGTCTGAATACAGTTTTAATTTTCAGTTTCTTTAACAGAGATTGGATAAAGTGAGCATGACAAGAAAAGATGATTTTTAAAGAAACTAGAAAACAATTTCCAAAATACAACAGATGATGCCATAACAAAGATTCTCAGGAAAAAGTATATAGCAGTGTGTTATTTCCTTCCTGAAGGAAATGAAACCTGAACTAAATGGTATAATGGAAGGTTAACTTTTTATGCCCTTAAATAATGGGAAAGAAACATCTTTTCATTTCTAGCTTAGAAAACTGGTATTTATCACTTATCTATAAAAGAAATTTTGTAATTATGTAATCTGCTAAATCTAAAATAAGACATTCACGTGAGAAAGAGGCAGTCATGGTAGCACTGCTGACTTACTCAAACATGGGTTGTCACCATGTAAATTCAATAACATGCTTATCTTGCCAACAAAACTCACGTTACTATAGTTTTGTAAACAATTAAAAGCATTTATACAGAAATGTCACAACATAATAAATACCAAGCATAATTCTAAAACATGCTAGCAGCAAGCTTGTAGTATCTAAAAGATGCTACTCTACATTATTAAGTTATATTTAGGTTAATCAAATGCAAGGTTGATACTCTATCACTTATAGGTGTAACATCAGCAATACACTTACTTGTTTTCAAATGCAACTGTTATAGAATCTTCATGCACATCCTTTACAAATGCCTGTGTAGAAAAAAAGGAATAATTATGGTCTGCTTATTGATATTTTAAAAAATAATTTTAAACCTGTGTAACACCTTCCTTTCACACATACTGATGAAACTCAAAATTTAAGTATGCTTTCAAGTTCAGCCTTTTTAATTTTGCAGTAGACTTACATAAAACGCATACTGAAAGCTGATAACCTCCTTGGGTTCATAACTGCCAGAGTATTGATACACAGACAGAATGCCCGAACTAGACATACATTCTTCCTACTTTTTAGAAGTAATGGGAGAGGTTACTAAGAAATGACAAGATCATTCTGAATAGTTTTATAACTAAAGTTTATAACAATTTATAACTGTTTGATTTTATAATCACATTTTGTGTATTTTGACACAAAAATGTGATTATGAAATCAAAAAGAAATTAAACCATGTCAGTAATCCTAAAAAAAAAAAATCCTGTCTCTTCTCTCTTTTACCTCAAAGTAAGTTTGAATATCGCACTAGCAAAACTCATCTATATCCATTTCAGCAGTTTCCCCCTTATTTACTTTATCACACTTCCGTAGCGTACAAACCTAAGATAAATACCCTGCAGCCTTCCTTCAGTTTTCTTCTGGGGGATGGATGGCAGTTGTGCTAAGTCTCCCATGCAACCACAAAGCAGAGTACAGAACTAAGATTCAGCACAGAGAGGGCTTTTCCTGCCTTATGCTACTCAACTGACTGACCTTTGATCAATTTTCAGCTTTAAGCCCGAACATCCCCCGATCTACAGAACAGCAAGATCAATACTCAAAGAACTTTGGGATTTACCAATGAAAATATTTTTCATAGCACCAAATAACGGAGGTCATGGGGCAACCAGGGATGAAAAGAAAAAAAAAAAAAAAGAATAACTGGGGGTTTTTTCTTTCTTTTTAAAAAGATCTCTACGAACTTCTGAAACAGATAAATATTGGTGAAGTGCTGAGTATTCCACTAATATTTGTCCATATATAGTATATCCTTGCAAGGCAGGTAGATAAAAGGCCATGAGCAAGGCTGAGTATAGAAGTTTGTTCTACCAATGGAGATCCGTCCTAGTAGATAGAAAAATTCTCAGTAAATTGAAAATAATTCAGCAGTAACTACCGCTTCTGAAGAAGAGCTAATGAACTGTAGAACGTTTTATTCTCCTCGCATTTCAAGTTTCCAAGACAAGAACAGCTCTTATCTCTTAAAAGAATGTAAGAGTTTCTTTCTCACACGGAATCTAAATGGTTTTAAAAAATTCTTCTGGTATTTTTCCTTTATAAAGTATTCCAAAGTATTTCCCGAGTTGCAGCAGTATCTCAGCATCAAACAAGAGCAATACCTGATAACTGATACAGAGCTCCAAGAACTGGTTACACTAAAATTAAGCAGTACATGTGCACAAGTGTCATTACTCAGAGGCATTCAGTACAAGAAAGAAGTGCAATGCTCAGTTAATAATCTGAAAATAACTAATGCCATCTTGACTAGAAGTCAAAGCAAAGCCACAATGACAGTAGCAAAAAATGGTTTCATACCTCTCAATACTGTAAGAATAAGGTTACCGGAAAGTTTATTATTGCTATAATCCAAAGGAGATTTAAAGCAGTCTCTAACAGTATTTACATAATTACATATTTCAAAATTCCAAGATATTCCTCCCATGGGGATTACAAGCACAGTTCATATTTTTTAACGACATGATACAAAACAGATTTAAGACCACATCTCAGGATCACGTTGATAGTAGTACAGAAATGCTATTTACAGAAAGAGGCAACAGAACTCCCAGTTGATCATTATGGATACCGAACATTTATCTAATGTTTCATATTGCTGTGTCTTCTGTAAGAAAATTCCAGAACTGGATATGCACTTGACAAATACTATGGTAGTTCTGACTCATTTCACGTTACACACATCACCTTCAAGGGCTCCACCCACATTTCTTCCAATGTTTGTCATGTGCAGTTCTGAAGCACCTATTCTTATAGATGTAGCAGAAATGGATGCCTTTAATACCTGAAAAATACTGTAATCACTACCAAGTATTTGGTATGACTCTTTCACGCCACAGACTGGAAAAGGATAGCACTTAGTATTATTAGTAACACTCGAGTATGCAAAAGCAGGGATTATTTTATAAAGCAAATCCAACAGAAATGACACCAAGAACACTTTATAGCCTTGAGGAAAACAGGTAAGAGTAAACACAAGACAATGCCCTGAGAAAGAATTTGTTGATAATTAATTTTCTTATATTCATAAAATAGCAAAAAATCACTTCTACTGCTATGAAAGACACTTTTGGAGAAGAAGTCATCCCCTCTATGGTGATAAAAACACCAAACGGTGCTCTAAATAGCACTCTGCAAAAATTACAGGAAATGACAGAAAAATACACAAGCACAGCAGCAAAAAGCAAGACTACATCTCCTATTCAGATCTGATAGCTCCAAGTCATCTTGAGTAGAATCCTAGTGACTACAGCAATATACATAACTAGTGGCAATAATGCTAAAACCTACCGTTAATAAGTAAAGCAGATGGTGACACAAATAAATGTAAGTTATCAAGTTGAAGACTAGTCTAAGACCTTTAAACAGTCTAGGACTTACGTTGTCTGGAAAAAATAAAACTTGGGACTAGTTTTTCAACATAGCTAGTTGAAAGAGTATTGAACTATAGGCAATTCTTGTCTTCGATCTGCATCACATCCTAATTTAAAGGCTGAAGGTCTAGTACAGGGGATGGAGCGCTCTTGTCATTGTTACTGTGTCCGTCACCATAAAAAGAGCAATGAACTTCATTAGGCTGAAGATGATTCCAACAATGTGCAGAGGTTTTCAAGCCAATTACTTTAGGGTCTTACTGCTTTCCTTAAACAGGTCTTCAACATTGCTTTGGTCGCAACCCAGAAACCTGAAGGAACCTGAACCAGGAACATTAAGTATAACTGTTGACCATACACAGGTAGCATCTATACAGACATTCCTAGTGAAAATTATAAAACTGACATAATTTCTTTAGTTTGTACCAAGTTCAGAAGACTCAACCACAGAAACAGATGGAATACCTGGTTTTCACTCCAGCCCAGCCAAAAAAGTTGATGTCATAACACTGTTTGCCTTTCAATTTCCAGCCTTGCAAAATTACAAAAATTCATTGTAATGAACCTTTAATTAATTACAAAGTGAATGATGCCTTGCCAAATACCTAATTTCAAATAGGCAATATATACAACACTTCTGCCTACCTCAATATGAGATTTATGCTTAAAAAAACAATTAACCAGACAAAATCTATTAATAGCCTAAATATTTGGTTGTCTAATCCCATCTACCCATAGAAAGGTGGTTTTCCTTGTTCTTCAGTTTCTTGTGACACAGAAAAAATGTCAGAGGTACTTGATCACATCAGGTTTTTTAAGTCTGTATCATAGCATTATGTCAATTTTCTTCTGGTATAAATAAACAGATCTGTAGTAAGCAAAATGTATTTGGACTCTACAGCACTATATATTTGCACACTTTTAAGTACAAATAGAAATGTTTTGAAACATTTCTAAGTTCTCATAAAAAAATTTAATACTTAACCATTAATGCCTTTGAAAAACCAAAATTAAAGCTTATCAGAACTGTTTGGTTTTCTTTATTCTGTGTTACATGTTAAATTATATACAATGCTAAAAAGAAGTGAGACCTTTAACACCATAAGCCAAATTCACAGACACAGGACAAGCCAGCCCCAGATGACAGTAAAGGCAGAGTAGAGGTACTGATGTCACACAAAGTATTATGAAAAAAGTACAATAACATTCACCAGTCTTTTTTTTTTTTAAATAAAGAGTATAAGTTGGGCATGGAAATTCAAACATAAAGGTGCATATATGTGAGTTTGAAATGCACACTCAAGAAGGGGCAGAACAGTGGCTATGATGAATGTGAACACATAGATGAAAAGCATTAAAAACATAGTGAAACTAGATTTGAGTAAAATGAGGGAACAGGACAGTAAGCAACTACAGCAGCTGGGATATCACTATCACTGATAGCAGAGATACCAAATAAGAGTACACAAAAAGAAATCAGAATCAGTGAAAAAGGTTTGCTTTTGCTTCTGTGAACAGAAGCACATTTTACAATAGCTAAGGTTGATTCTTCTTCTCTCATGTGGAAAAAAATCAAATGTGGTTAAATGTTCTACACCAAATTTGACTTTCAGTCACATAAACCATTAACGTTTCTCTCCATGCTTCAAACATAATTAGGTAAAAAAAGTTTACAATCCAACATTGACATGTCATGGCATTTCTCAAACACATGAGCATTCACATTCTAAGAAGGGTTATATGCTGAAGATATGGTCTAAATTTTACAGATTATTTGATACAAAATAAGAATTATTGGAAACACCAGTATATTTGTTATTTTTGTGCTAAATGGTATGACAGACACTTCAAAGGAGCAAATAGAGGCTCCAGCTGCCATGAAGTTTTGTTGCTTTTTTTAAAGTCTGCTCACATCATCGGAGCACTGTCAACCATTTTAATAAAGGAGGATAATTAACTGTAAGGAGTGAAAGTAGGGAAAATACACTTTTTAAGATAAAAAAATGCTATGTTGATACAAATGTGCGTAACAGTTCTGTAACGTTTGATACCCGTTGGAAGGAGAAAGTCAAAAGGGAACTCAGGTGGCTAATCAAATCTGAGAAAGGCAGGCCATACTAAGAA